TCTTGAGAAGCAAATTTTGTGGAGACATGGTACTCCAGAGAGAATTCAGTCAAACAATGGGACTCATTTCAAAAACAGTCTTGTCACTGACTGGGCTAAAGAGCATGGTATTGAGTGGATCTACCATATCCCATACTATGCACAAGCCTCAGGGAAAGTTGAAAGGTACAATGGTTTGTTGAAGGCTACCCTGAAGGCAATGGGTGGTGGAACTTTCAAAAACTGGGACAAAACTTTGGAAAAGGCCACCTGGTTAGTTAATATCAGGCCATCCATCAATCGGGCTGTTCTAATGATCCTTCTGCAGGAAGGACACTCAGAAACAAGATTCAATTTGGTCTGTGGTTGCAACTAATCTGTATAATCCTGCCTATCTTTTAGAAGACTAATACGTATATATGTTTTAAGTGAATAAACATGTATCGCTTTTATGTGTTGGTATGTGTGTATGGAAGGAGCAATCCCCCACACACCCAGTGCTGCAATAAAAAATACCTGCTTTGTGGCTTCTCGGGGCTATAGTTTTCTTCCTCGCGTCACTATCACTACATGCCCTTGTAAAAAGTCCCTCTCCAGCTTTCTTGTAGGCCCCGTTCAGGTACTGGAAAGTCTCCCTGGAGCCTTCTCTTCACCAGGCTGAACGACCCTGTCACCGTTTGACTCAGGTCCGACAACAATGCTCTCGATCCCCTCCCCCTCCCACCCAGGTAGGGAAGGAGAGAGAGAAAAAGAGAGAGACTTGGCTGGATTGAAAACTAAACTACACAGCTTGAATTAAACACTATGTTCAATTAATCTTCAATTAATCTTCAATTAATGTTTAATTAAACAATATGTTCAGATATGTGCAAAAGCCTCTCACCTCCCCCCACCCCCAGCAACTCCCACAACACTCTCCTTATCTGCAAACAGTCCCGAAAAATTGCAGACTGCTGCTGGAGAAAGCAGAGAGTGATGAGGGTCAAGAGAGCGTGAGCCTAGGGGTCAACAGTGATGGATGGAAGAGAAGGGAAGAAGAAGCAGGAAGGAAGTTGTCCTCTGTGATCTCTGACCTTCCTCTGAGCTTATGTAGATATATGGAATGGAATATCTCTGGCCAATTTTGCTGTCTGTCTAACTCAGCCTCCTACGCGGGGGGTCATGGATCTCCTGGTAGCGTGTGAGCTGGCAGGGCAAAGATGTGACTTTGGAGTTATCAGCTTTAGTGGGAAGGCTCTGTGACTAGTTAAAAGAAAGCTTCCTGAAGCGGAAAAAAATCAGTAAAAGGAAAATTGGCTTCATCCTGGCTCAAACCAGGACAGTCCCACCACATCAATAGGGGTTCAATTAGTCTTTGCATCCTTTGTTTATGGTGAGAGCACCTCCCCTAGAACTGGTTGCTCCATTCCCTCTTCTTCCCCCCAGGGATGCCTCCTTAGGTAAGATATCACAACTTTCACCTTTTGAATAGAGGTGAAAGCATCCCCAGGTGTATTGCATACTTTGTAATATTAATTGCTAGCAATATTAACATCTATTAGTAGCACTCTTGTAGTCAGTGCATTTATTAATGGCTATCCTGAACTTGTTATATATGTTACCTTAATAAACTACCTCACATTTACATCTAAGTACTTTGTATTTGCCACTTTATTAATCCATCTTGCAGCAGGCCTTGCTTGAGGACAGTGGGGCAGACAAACGTTGTTAAGTGGACATACACATAAACGTACATGATCCTTTAATCATAAACCATTTGTTACCTCCTGGGATCTAAGACTGCAGTCCAGCCACCCCCAGCACCACAGTATACAAGGGTTGATGGATAGCAAGGGGGCCAGTCTGAAATCCTGTAGCTTCAACAGGAGGCTCCTCCTCAACCACACATCCATGTTGGAGTGGTCTGTTAATCTACATATCCGTTTTACACAAACATCCTTCCCCCCCCACCCTTTTTGCCTTCACACACCAGGGCCCCAGAACTAGACACTACTCCAGGTGGGGACTTGCTGGTCCCACTTCTTTCGCTGTGACCCAG